AAAATCTTCAAATCCTGAAGGTTGTTATACATAAACTTCTTTTTTAATAAAACCATTTAGAAAAGCATTTTTGACATCCATTTGATACAATTTGAATTTCATCATTGAAGCATATGCAAGAAGTAGGCGTATAGCCTCTAATCTGACAACAGAAGCATAAGTTTCATCATAATCTATACCTTCCTCTTGACAGTACCTTTTTGCCACAAGTCTAGTTTTATTCTTTGTTATGTTCTCATCTTCATCAAGCTTGTTTCTAAAAACCCATTTCGTTCCAATTACTTGATGGGATTATTCTCTTGGAATCAATTCCCATACTTGATCTCTTTTAAATTGATTTAGTTCTTCTTGCATTGCAATGCACCATTGATCATTTTTGAGTACTTCCTCAACATTTTTGGGTTCAATCTGTGAAACAAAAGCTACAGACATACAGAAATTGGTCATATTTCTAGTACTTACCCTTTTTGAGATGTCACCAATTATATTATCAACTGAAAGTCCTCTTGGTGATTGTCACTCTTTTTCCAATTCAGTTGGTTGTGATGGTTTATTTTCCTTTAAGTACATTTCTTCTAGTGCTTCCCTTATGTGCTCATTATCACTTGCATATTCTTTACTTGACTCGAGGATTTCCCTCGAGGTCTACAATTTTATCAAATGTAACATGCACAAATTCTTCAATATTTAAAGTTCTTCTATTGAATACCATATATGCTTTGCTAGAAAGCGAATAACCTAAGAAGATAGCCTCATCGACTTTTGAATCAAATTTAACTAAATTGTCTTTACCATTATTTAGTACAAAACATTTATAACCAAAGATTTTCAAATGAGCTATATTTGGTTTTCTCCCTTTAAATAGCTCATAAGGAGTCATTTTCAAGATAGGTCTAAGGAGCATTCTATTTAAAACATAACATGCAGTACTTATAGCATCAACCCAAAAATATTTAGGAACATTAGATTCATTCAACATTGTTCTAACTAGTTCCTCTAGTGATCTATTTTTCCTTTCAACTACACCATTTTGTTGGGGGGTTCTTGGTGCAAAACAATTATGTAAAATATCATTCTTTTCACAAAACTTTTTAAAAGATTCATTTTGAAATTCTCCACCATGGTCACTTCTTAATACTTTAATTCTTAATTCCTTTTCATTTTGAATTTGCTTTGCAAACTTTCTAAATGCCTAAAAAGCTTCACTTTTCAAAGTTAAAAAAAATGTCCAAGTAAATCTAGAGTAATCATCAACAATTACAAGAGCATAATAATTTTCACCAAAACTTTTGATTCTAGATGGTCCAAATAAATCTATGTGTAAAAGTTCTAGAGGTTTTGACGTGGAAATTATATTCTTAGTTTTAAAAAATGATTTTACTTGTTTACTTTTTTGACATGCATCACATAATTTATCTTTTTCAAATTTTAATTTAGGCAATCCAACAACTAAGTCTTTAGATATTAGTTTGTTTAATTGGTGCATATTTATATGAGTCACTCTTTTATGCCATAACCATGAGTTTTCTTCTTTAGCAACCAAGTATGTTATATCAACATTAGATGCACAATCTAAGTTAATCAAATAAATATTGTTATTGCCTAATACCTTTTAATGCAACTTCCTTAGAATATTTAAGATATATGGAACAGAAATTACTTTCAAAAATTACCTTGGGACCTTTATCACAAAGTTGTTTTATATTTAGAAGATTGTGCTTTAGTCCATCAACAAGGAGCACATCCTTTATCTCCAAGGTGTTTGCACCACCAATGTTTTCGGTACCAAGGATTTTACCTTTGTTGTTGTCTCCATAAGTTACATATCATTGTTCTTTCTTGATGACACTTGTAAATTTCTTTTTATCCCCAGTCATGTGTCTTGAACATCCACTGTCAATGTACCACATAGACTTTTTGAATCTTGAAATTTCCTACAAAATAAGAACACAATAATCTTAGGTCCCCATAACTTTTGAGTCCTTGGGGTTAGAGACAAGCAAATCATTTAACTATAGGCACCCAAATATATTTTCCTTTTGGAACACCAAAGTGTTTAATTTTACATTTATTTGAAGTATGTCCTTGTTTCATACAATAAAAACATGCATTTGGGATTTTAATTTTTGAAAAAGATTCATTTCTACATTGTAAAGGTATACTTCCTTTCATAACCCATACTCTGCGGGTTCTTTGATTTTTAGGTCTTTTCCAAGGAACATGACAATTAACTTGAGTTTTCACAAAATTTTCATCCTTTCTACAATTACTCACATCTTTCGTAGCTTTTTCAAATAAGTGCTCAAGAATGCAAATGTCAAGTTCATAGCTCTTACATGATGCACATGCAATTAGTTCATTTTTTTTTTCCTCAAAAGATGCAATTTTTGTTTTTAATACTTCCATCTCTTTTTAGGATTTGTTCAAATTCTTTTTCAATTTTCTATGCTCAGATTTCAATTATTTGAAAGTAGTAAATAATTCTTCATATGCATTGTGTAAAGTATCGTAATCATTTTCATCATCACTTGAAGAGCAGTCAGAATCACTTACCACATAGTCGGAAGATACATTGTCATTTGTCGTTAAGCAAAGATTTGTTTCAATTTCAGAATTACTTGACTCTGAACTAGAGTCACTTTCATCCCACACAATGTAAGTTTTCTTTTTGAAGGATTTTCTTCCTTTTGAATCAATACTTCTTTTGTTGTTAGGACATTCAGATTTCACATGTCCTGTTTCACCACAACCATAACATTTAAAATTTAATAAAGATCCTTTTTTCTCATTCTTCTTCCCTTTGAATGATTGTCTCCCTTTGGCTTTCAGGAACTTGGTGAATTTTTTTATCATGAGACTCAAGTTTTCATCTTCTTCACCATCGAAATTTTCTTCTTCCTTCTTTTTCTTGATTTTAGAAATCTCAGTTTTGAAGGCTAAGTTTCTCTTTTGATGTTGGCCTTCTTCATCATTTAACCTTCTTAGTTCAAGCTCGTGCTCTCTTAGTTTTCCAAAGATAGTCGTCATCGTCATTGTTGCAAGATTTTGTGATTCCGTGATGGCAGTCACCTCAGGTTGTCATTTCCTGTCCAAAGATTTGAGAATTTTAACATTTAATTCATCAAAATCAAAATTCTTACCAAGCCCAGAGAGATGGTTCACAATGTGTGTGAAATGCTTTTGGACGTCAAAGATTGTTTCTCCTTGTTGTATCCTAAACATTTCATATTCTTAAATCAAGGATTTTTTCCTTGCTCTTTTCACATCGTTGGTTCCTTCATGAGTTACTCTTAGAATTTCTCACATTTCCTGGGCACTTTTACACACTGATATTCTGTAAAATTCATAAGGGTTAAAGCAGATGAAATAATATTTCTAGCCCTAACATCATATTGGGCCTTTCTATTTTCTTCAGCAGTCCATCTAGAAAACAGTTTTGGTTCCTCTACTTCATTTACAGTCATCTTAGGAATAAAAGGACCATTTACAACAACTTCCCAAATACCCCTGTCAATAGACTCAAAATATTTGCATCCTAACTTTCTAGAAAGGATAATTTTGTCCAGCAAAAAGTGGGGGTCTGTTAATAGAGGCACCCTCAGCAAAAGTTTGGTTTTGTACAGCCATTTTCGAAAAATTTGAAAGACTATCAAAGCAAGCTTTGATACCACTTCTTAGTATCGCGCAACGGAATGTTTGCGTGTAGGACAAAAACCAAGAGGGGGGTGAATTGGTTTCTTATAAAAAATTTCCCTTTTTAAAAATTTTCACAAGATTTTACCGATTAAACGTTAATACAATAAAACACTTGAAATGAAAAGAGATAAGGAAATAAGATTACACAAGTAATTTATACTGGTTCAGATCAAAAGACCCTACGTCCAGTTGTTAATCACTCTAAAAGAGGGATTAACCTAATCACTAAAACAATGGTTCAAACAGATTACAAATTACAAGTAATAAGGATTAGAAAACACCTATTTTTAGTCACACAAGAGATCAACACCTCCTTTGAAGCCACAAAAGATGAAGACAGTTTTTCCTAGAGACGGCACAACACACAATCCATCAAGAAACTCACTTAGTGATTCTTATCGCTTCTAGCCCACACTAGGTTACAAAAGCTCCTTTTTCTTCCTTATTCAAAATTTTCTCAGCAATCACAACTATAAACTTTAGGATGAAAAATATTGTTTTTACAGAGAGCCAGAGAGTTCCTTAAATAGAGATTTTAGGGTTTAAAAATTAGAATTTTCGAAAATGGGTCAGAAATTTGAAATTCAAAATCATAACTAACACAAATAATCGATTATTATAAGTTATAATCGATTATTACAGAGCCACTTTGGAAGAAAACAAAATTTGACCAGGATAATCGATTATCCACAAGAATAATTGATTATTCCAGAGACTTTCAGAGACCCAGGTGAACTTGGATAATCGATTATCATAAGTGATAATCGATTATCAATAATCGATTATTAATAATCGATTATCCTTATGTGATAATTGATTATCATAGAGTGTTTTAGTAAAAAACGAACTTTCAGTGGACAGACTATGTGCTGGCTATCTTGGACTCTATTTTTACAGACTCAAAATGATAAAACACAGTTATTACAGACAAATACAACTATATATGAGTCTTCTAATCTTGAGGTCCTTTGTCTTCTAAAGCACCATCAAAATCTTCAGACATCATACCCTTGTATTTTCAACACTACCTATTTTGGGATTGCTTTAAATGGAACTTCAAGAGTATAGTTATCGATATTATTAGAAAGTTTTCCATTATTCCTTGTCCACCTCGGTCTCCACTTCTTTGAGGACTGCTTTAATTGGAACATGAAGGATAATGTTTGTCCCATATTGATTAGAGAAATATGAAGCTTAGCTGACTCTTATCTTACAATTTGGTTTTGTGGGGCTTAGTTTGACCTTAAGCTCAATTTTTTTTATCAATTTTCTCCTATGTTCTTCAAGTGGCTTGATTGATTGATATGGACTTGCTTGTGGCTAATTTTGTCGGGCTAGAGGCTAAGCTTGCAGGTAATTTTGTTCATGCTGGTTTGACTAAATATTGATCATGCTAATTCATTGGGATAATAGTATCTAGATGTTCTCTTGTTCAAGCCTGGATTTGCTCTTGTTCTCATGCAAAGTGTTTTTCATTCTATTTCATAATCATAGGCTTAACCAAGGTTATCAAACTGTACATAGACTAGGAGGTCCATACACTCGACTCATAAACTCGACTAGTACATTTGTAAGAGTTTGCTTCATATAAAAAATACCAATTTAATAAAAAATATAAGTAGGATAATATTAAGTCCACATTAATAAGAAGTGTGCATCAACATTGAGATCAAAAGCTATATTATCAAGCTTAAGTGCATCTAGAGTTGGATCATATGAACTTGATTCAACTAAGTCAACATTTCCATCACTTGAGTTTTCTCAACCTCGACATTATGTCCCTCTTCAGTCATCCATTCATCACCAGACTCAATATCATCAAATGAAATAGCAACGTTTTTCCTAATTTGTTTATTTTTCAACTCCAACTTATACATCACATAAACCAAATAATTCATTTTATTTTTTTGCAAACAGGTTCTTTTTTTTTTATGAACCTATAATTGAAGAATCGATTTTAATAAGTATATACACCAAACCAAGATAATTAAAAATCACAAATAATTACATAAACTTGAATTACCATTTCAAATGAGCTCCAATTACATTCACATCCAAAAGAGTTACAAGTGAAGCTCAAAACTCGAATAGCAAACCTCTTCAACTCTGGAGTTCCATCCCCAATCATCACCCACCATTCTTTAGTAAGCATAGTTTTCCAGCAATCCTTTGCATCTTCCATAGAAGGAAGTTTTTTTTTGCATAATCGAAATCAATGAGTTGTAAATTGATTTTTTTTCCTTTATGCAGCATCATTAATCAATCTTTTCATGCATACATACAACCTCTGTTCACTTCAGAATCATCATTTCTAAAATTAGGTTCATAGTGCAAATGAGGATTAAGGTAATAATCTGCTGGATGCAAAGTCCTACGAAGTTGATTATCCCACCTCTCATCAATGATTTTCCAAACAAGTTCATAACTATAAAAATATCAGTTGTGCTATATTAGAAGTTGATTACAAATTAAGTAATTAAATTCTAAACGATATAAGGTTTAGAATTTTTACCTTTTCTTAATATTATTGAAGTTGCACTTAATCATCTCTTTTGCACAATCCATCTTCTCATATATGAAACCTATTGCGGGTTTTATCTACCAATTGAAGGACCACCATAAGAGGAACAACAACTTTCAGGCATGTAGTTATATTTTTCCAAAAGTTACTATTTAATACCATATTCTCAACTTTTTTCTCTTGAGAACTAAACATCCACCGAATGTGGGAATGTGATACTTTTTCATTCCAAACTCCTATTTAGGTGCCAGCTGGTTCTGCAGATACATCATTTGCAACAATTTGTGTCTATTGTGTCTAAGTACTCCTATTTCGTCTCCACAGTCACCTCTGGGCAATGTGCCATTTATCTGTTTTGGATTGGTGTTTTTTCACCTTTCTTGGATTATATGAAGGTCGGTCAATATGTAAAGACAGTACTGGGCCCTCAGGTTCTTTCAGCTGGGGATATACTGATACTTTCTGTAGCATCCTTCTTCCACCATTGACATGGAAATTATTCAGACCATTGTTGTGTGTCAAGTCTCCAATTCGACAATGGATATTTCCTAACCCCTATTTAAGGCTGATTATATATTATGGGATTTCTACTCTTACGATGATATCTAATCATTTGTTATGTTTGTTAATTTGCCTAAACCACTCGGCACAGTTATTACTTTGTTCTCATTCTTCATAACAATTTGCCTGTTTTTAATCACAAAGATACCCAAACATCTATTATAGCTAATTTATAATATTTGTTACTTCTCAGAAAACTAACATGAGAATCAATTTTCTTTCTGAAATATTTTGCTGACACATTCATTTTTACCTTGCAAAGCACTGTTTTTACACTGAGGTTTACAATAATGGTAGAAGTTCGTATAAATTCACTATTGCTTAGATAATATTACCTTTGGTTTCATAGTTCAAACTATCATCCGGACGCTTAGTAGTTAAACACTCATCCTCCTCATTCAATAATGCTTAGTTTTCACTTTCCACTAGTGCGCTTGTTTGCGTGGAATTTGGATGTGCCCAGTTTACTTTGAGGAACCATTTGTGGGTTCCCCAAAATTCTAACCTTCTCAGGCCCTTTTCAGACTCAACAGCTGGTAGAAGGTTGACCCTCCCCATCCTTATCCTCTATATTTTCCTCCCCCACTCACAACCCCATTTTCATCAGGGGGATAAAAGTAGACAAACTTAAAATAATGGCTAACATACTTCTGGTTATGCATGGAATGATGGGAAAGAAATATATTCTTACGGTTACCCGTCTCTTGTTTACCAGCTTCGAATGGAAATCCGCGCCTTCCTGATTCTTTGCATTTTATTGATCCTTCAGGACGGCCAAATGCATACCAGAGGGTGAGAAATTATTATTGGTTTAAATTCACAACTATATTTGTCATTATCCATCATTGATGTGGTATAAATTCTTTTTAGGCAATTGTCGAGGTTGGGGAAGTGTTACAGTTTTATGATTCAGACAAACGATTTCCTACTTGGGGATTTGGGGCACGACCAATTGATGGTCCTGTTTCCCATTGCTTCAACTTGAATGGAAGTAGTCATTATTGTGAGGTAGATCTGCTATGTTTGGTCCTGCTTATATTGTCATATTGAAACAGTTCTTTATTAGTTAAAAGTTTCTGTCTGTTGTAGGTGGAGGGGATCCAAGGAATTATGATGGCTTACACAAGTGCCCTGCATAATGTATCTCTTGCAGGACCTACTCTTTTTGGACCTGTCATAAGCACAGCTGCACTGATTGCCAGCCAATCTGTAGCAAATGGTGGAAGAAAGTACTTTGTTTTGTTAATAATCACAGTAAGAGTTGATAATATACTTAGCAGTCAGTAAGAGTTGATAATATACTTAGCAGTGTTGGATATCATATTTATCTCCGAAAGTAAATTGAAATTTTATATCGTTGACATAATTTAAAGATTATTATAACTTAATTGAACTTTGGTCGTTTGTCATTATGTTTCTCTCCACTTTGCCTTAATGCATCCATAACATTAAGCATGATGCTCTATCCTTCTTACTACTAAGAATTTTATAAGATGTTTCCATCACTGCTACTGAGTTTTAATTGGTATATTCCAAGGATGGAGTGGTGACAGATCTTCAAGAAACAAAAGATGCCATTGTTAAAGCATCTGACTTGCCATTATCAATCCTTATTGTTGGGGTAGGAGGTGCTGATTTCAAAGAAATGGAGGTAACAAATCAAACTTGTATGCTCTTTACGGGTAGAGTTGTAATGTTAGGTGTCTGAGGCGATCCACCGTGCGTGTGAATTAATTTTGTTGTCGAATTTCTTGTTTAGGTTTTAGATGCTGACAAGGGAGAGAGGCTTGAAAGTTCATATGGACGCGTTGCTTCACGCGATATAGTTCAATTTGTTCCATTTCGGGAGGTTCAAAGTAAGTGTCATTTTACGAACTAGGATTGAGATAATGATGAGGGTTTGTATGAAATCACGTTTTGATGATTGTACCAAGATGCAAAGAATGAATTTTCGGTGAGTGATGCCTAACATATCAAAATACTTGGCAATTTTTTCTCTTGCAGGTGGATTTTCAGTTGTTCAAGCACTTCTAGCAGAATTACCGACTCAATTTTTAACTTATGTGCGGAGCAGAAATATCCAACCAAGCCTCTAGACATGTAAAATCTGTACATAATGAAGTTTTATATTCATTGATCATTGTGCAATTCCGAGGTCCTTTTCTGTTCTTCAATCAACGAAAGGGCCGAGGAACTGTTGCTTTGTGCTAATTAACAGCTCAAGAAAGGTTCGCCTGCTAGCTGTATCATCTAAAGCATATGTCTGATCCAGCCTCCTTATGATTATGATTGGCATTTCCTTTTCTCTTTTGTGCACGTGTCCTTTTGGGTTTTCCTAGGTGATTGTTTTGTCTGAAGATAATAGCACTAAGTTGAAAGTCAATGTTTTCTTCCAACAAGGACAAAGTTCTGTCCTTCTGTCTACACATTGTGATATGATTTGTAAAGGAAATCTTTTATAATTTGGGGATGTCTTTAGATTGCTGAAGTTCATAGTTCTGTACAAAACAATGTCTGTATTTAAAAAATTTTAGCATAGCTGAAGTCTTATTTCTTTAGTTCATTATACCCATTTTTTATGGACGAGCCTTGTTGCAAAAAGTGGTGTTGGTGACTAATTTGGTCTTAAGTTTGAATTTAGAAATATCTTTATATATATATATATATATATATATATATATATATATATATATATATATATATATATATATATATATGCCAAGTTAAGATTTGTATATAATGATTCTTCCCTGTATCCTTGTATAACGAATAGTCTTCTCTTGCGAGAAATTTTGAAACACCAAAGATATTTTTGAGAAATAATGTCACGGTGGATCACTTTACTAGATGGTCTATGATAGACCATAAGTATAAGTTCTTATATTATTAATCTTGTATGATGTATTTTTTCATACTAGATTTTCCTCTAATTCTCGTCGACTACCACCGTTTTCTCTGTTGGATATTAATTTTAGCAGTGTTGAGTTTTATTTTTTCTTCTCTCCTCGACACCTCTAACCTCTCCTCATCTCCATTAACTGGGAATAAATAACAATGAAAAAATAGAAACCACGATTTACATCTAAATGAGCAAGTACAATAGACAATCATGTTTCATTTTGGTATTAAATGGAATACAATTTATACGAGAAGGCCATTTATGACAAGTCATGGGGAATTTGTAGTGAGGGTGTTTATTTCTTTATTCACAAGCTAATCCGAAGAAATTTTCCTTGAGTATCATCACGTGATTGAGAATGTTTTGTATTCCATCAATGGTTGGAATGACAATGCCGTGAAAATATGTTTGATGTCTAACAATAACAACATCAATTGGAGCACTTTAAGTGAGAAACGCTAGTTGTGGGAACAGCAGAAATGGGCATCACTACTTTTTAGGTTGCAAATTAGTTATTATTTTGAAAATTAGTTTATGGTTTGAGATGGGAGGTTTGGAACGATTGTGGCTAAAATTCAAGAGTAGATCAACGTCGGGATTTCCCCTCTTTTCTAAAGAATCACTTGATGGTAACGACATAAAAAGATCAAATAGAAAAAGTAACAAATCTAACATGTTAGCAAGGAGGATTGGGTTGAGTGTCCCACAAAAGATTATTGGGTTGGGTCTGAGATTTGGATAATTTAAGGATATTTCATCCCCACCACCATTGTGTTTTTATAAACGAAAAATACATACATCAATTTAAAAGAAAAAGAATATATTAAATTCAACCAATAAAAGAAATAGTATATCGTAACATTTCTTGAAATTTGACCTGAATAACAAGCAAATGTGAGATTATCCAAGCTTTGCCACTAAAGTTCTAACAATCTATGCTATGCCACGTATGTCAATAATCAGAGATTTTCAGTCATTTGGATTTTTAATGATGACATTAGGTTTTTTTTTTTAAATTAATTATTATTTTAGAGGATAGAAAGAATAAAAAAATATCATCTTGACTTAGAAGAGCATGCTTACTTAATTTAATAATTTAATAAAAGTACAATAAGACTGAAACACAAAGTTAGGCAAAATATTATTATTACCCTTGATAAGATTGGTCGTTGTTAATTTTTCGAATTTTTTGGCTTCATGAGTCTAATTTAATTTACCTAATAAAGATTCTATTAAGGTTTATCTTGACACTTTTAAAGTTTGGTGTATTTAGCTTAAAGAATCTATTTTGAAACCCCAGTACATAAACAAGACATATTTTAAAATTATTTAAAATCTTTTAAATTTAAAAGTCGTAATCTGATTTATTGAGCTATTACAAGTTGACTTAGACTTGGATGTAACGTGATTTAGTTTTTGTTAGTATATAAACAAATGAAAAAAAAATTCTGACAACTTGATAGTGAATTTGAAATCATTTAAAATATTTTGTTAAAGGTTGAAAAAAGAAAGTATTTTTGGTTGAAACATGTCGTAGCAGTGATTGGGTTTGGAGACAAAGCATTAAATTAATAGGAGAATCATAGAGTAGTGTTCTTACTTAGGTGAGTTAGGTGAGAAAGTTTTTGGTTGTAAAACTTTAAAATTTGTTTATGTTTAAAACATTATGTTAGCTTATGTTTCCATTTTTCAATGAAATATTAAAACATTTATTCTAATTAATTTTATTCTCTAATAAATATTATCTTTTAGAAACACTTGACAATACATTAATTTATATAAGAAGTCAAGAAAGAGAAAGATTGTTAGTAAAGTTGACTTGGAATCGATATGCAAAATATTTCAATTAAATATGTATTTTACCTCTTTAAAATAAGATATATACATTATTATGATTTACGTATTCACGTATTTTAATCAAATACCACATCTTCTTACGTCTGCTCTTTTATATTTGATTGAAACTATTTTAAGCTGTTGAAATAAAAGTTTTAAATTAATTATAAATTTTCCAAAACAGAATTTTATCAATAATCCACAATAAAAAAATGGTATAAAATGTGTAATTTCATATTTATCAACTATTTTCATATGTAATTTTATTAAATAATAATAATTTAATAAAATAAAATAATTTAGTAAATTACCTATTTATTTTTAGTGTAAATTAGATATATTTCTCCTGACATACTATTGGAAACAAAAATTATTTACTTTTATATATATATATATATATATATATATATATATATATATATTAGATTGGATTATTAAGTTATATCCAACCTAAAATTTTAATTGAATATATTAAAATGAATTAACATCTACCTACTAAAATATATTGAGTTAAATTAGATGGATTAGGTTTCATGTTGATTGTGACCTATTTATACTTATGCATCCTTCAAAGTTTAATAGAAAATTGTTGATTTATCAACAAATCGATAAAATTTTGAGAAAATATATTATCAATTCAAAATATTGGAAAATAAAAATATTGTATTTTTTTAATTATTATTTATTAATATTTGATTAAAATTAATTATATGATATATAATTAAAAAACAATTTAAATAACTAAGTTCATGAATATAAAATATTAAAAAGTATCAACTATGTATTTAAATGTATATTGATATAACATGACCAAATATCCAAGTATATCAACTAATAAAAATTAATATACTAACAAAATTATCATATTCTAATAATAATAATAATCTAATTTATAAGGTGACGCAATCACCATATAAAATTACACTATTATCAACAACAACAAAATATAAACAAAACTTTTCATAATCAAAATTTATGATTTTTAAGAATAGCAGGTTATAATTATTAAAAATGGCCAAAATTATTTTTTTATTTATGAATATTTAAAATGTTTATAAAAGCTTTTTGAAATCAAAAGAGTAATTTAGTATTTTTATTAAATAATCTAATAAAACAATTATGTTTTATGTTAGTACAAAAATCAACTCAGTTCCACATTCTTCATGGGACAATTTTTGTGTGAAACATACCAAAAATAAATTCTGAGAAAACATTCTTAACAGAATGACCAAACACTTTATATTTCAAATTCTTGATAAATTAAAGAATAATAAAAATCTTCTACCAAACATTATTATTCAGATAACTATTTAAAGTTCAGTAAATTTATCACGAATTTTGTAATTGGATAATAGTATAATTTTTTTTTCAAATCAATACTATTATATAAATATATTATTATATAAAATAAACTCCTTTTTTTTAATCGATTTTGATATATATATATATATATATATATATATATATATAATATATATAACAAATAAGTTAAGAAAGAAACTAAAACTTGAAAAAACAAATATACTTTTTTAAATAATAATATAAAAAATATTACATGTCAATGTTAATGTGTATGAATTTTTAATTATAAATATTTCCTTTTTTTATTACTGTCGTTTTTGTTAGAAAATTATGTTTCAATTTATTTGTGGTTTATAAAATTAAGATTTTTTTTTTTCAAGTCCTTACTTTTGAAATGTTAAAAGAAAAATTTAAATATTATTTTTTATAAAACTTTACATACTTATTTATTTTCTATTTGTAAAAATATTTTCAATTTTTTAGTTTTTAAAGTTAAATTTTTTTTTGTTAAAACAGTTTTTGAAAATTACTTTTGTTTAGATTTTAAAAACTAAAAAACGTAAAAGATATTTTCTCTTATAAGGTTATTTTTAAAATCGGATTATTCATTCATAAGTATTAAAATTATGTGGTTTAATTAAATTTAATAAAATAATATTTTATAATATAATAAGTATATAATAAATTAATTAGTAATAAAAAAAATTACAAGCAAAAATAATAATAAATATTATTACAATTGTAAATATAAAATAGTGTAAGATAATTATTATTTAAAATTAATATAATTAATATTAGATAAAAAAAATAAAAAAATCTTATATCTTTTTATAAAATATATTATATTAAAAATTTGAGTTTAATTTTTTTTAACCAAAATTGGTTCAACCCAAAATTTAGCTAATTTTATTAATTTTATACTGGTTTAATTAAAATTTAGTTATATAGAAACAGTAAATTAATCTTTCAATATTTCTCTCGAGATTCGATCGATTTTCCAAACAATGATTTTATTCATTAATTACATTAAATTACTTATTTTCATTACTTAAAAAACTA